TAACATATCTGTAAGATGTAACTGCAAAATAATATATGCTAACATGTCTGTAACAATCTCTTTAATTTTACTATGAGTATAATTAAAATTGCTATTAAAATAGCATCTGCATGTATAATATCACATTATTTCCAGGAAGAAATGGAACCTAATGCTGGCTAAATGAGGCAATGGTAACCATGTGAACATCCTGAATTGCTCTGCAGCATGTGAAAGCCCTTATTTAATTCCCAGCACACTTGACTGGATATCTTGGGGAGGAGGAGGAGGGGAGGTAGAGCTCATGGCTGCGTGACATGAATTAGCATTGAAGGAAGGCTGGAGATGATCTTAAGCTGCATCGACAGCTGGGACCACAACGCCCTACTGTAGCTTTACAGATAGACAGAGAAAGCAACTGTTACACAGAGTGACTTCTGTAGATGCCAGTCACTTGTTTAATTACTTCAAATTGGACTTTAGGAGGCAATTACGGCAGGGAGAGAAGACAGCATGCCTGTGAAATGCAAAACTACTTCAACAGACACTAAAATGCACCTTGAATAGCAAGCTACACTTCCAGATAATATCCAAGACATTCTAACGAGCTCGAAGTTTAGAGAAAAAATGTGATACAGTTGAGACAACAAATTTTCTAAATCCGACTTATTAATTTGGGAGATAATCAGAGAATAGAGATTCTACATCAGACATGTACGACTAAATCAGTATCATATGATATTAATGTCACAGTGTCACATTTCCTCAAAAATCTTGACTTCAAAATTATTCAGTGTAGTGCTAGCAATAGTTTAACCAACACGTAACCCTTTATAGAATATATTTTTATGTGTCTACGACAACATCTGTGGCTTAAGTATGAGTGAAAACATAACTGCATTGCATTGTAGTAAAACATCCAATCATCTATTGAAAGGCATTTATATACATACTAAACAATATTTGGACATAGTATAGGAGCCTACCAGACAAAACACAGTTTTTAAAATTAAAATCCTATAAATAGAAAACAAAACTGCTAAAGGGAATATCCTTATCATTGAGGAGAAACTAGACCACAAACTTCGAGTTCAACATGTTCTGTTCAAATCCTTTTGGAATGTCTTTTAGCAGTTCTTCAATGGGAACTTCTATAAATCTTGTTTAGATCGTGTGAAAAAGGCTACAAACTTAGAGAAAAAAAAATTTAAGGTCTAGGCAGACTTTATAAAATTTTTGTCTGAACTTTTTCCAAAAAAAATTGGGAATTTTAATACAAAAATTATATCCTATATCTTGATAAAAAACAAAACAAAACAAAAAAAACACATAATTTCTTTGAATATTCCTTCTTACCATCCTGGAACACTCTCTCCACATTCAGACCATAGGTAGAGCAGGTCTCATAGTATGTGCAGCGCTTCAGATCATTAGAGAGCTTTCTGGCCCGAGAGTCATCAATCACTCTGGGATTGGCTGCACTGATTGCATCTATAAAAAAAGATTCAAAGAAAGACATCAAGGAAAAGTAACCATAGTGCAAGAATACAGCATATTCTAGAATGCCTCATTATTTTTAGATGATTGTAAACAAAAAAATGTTAAGGCAAACACCTTGTGTTCCGACGAGGACCATGGGCACCTCAGCTGTGTTTCTGTAGCTGGATAGGCGCAAGAAGTAATTGTAGACTGTCTGAAAGCTGATCTCATCCTCCAGGCTAAAGACAAAAACCACTGCATCCACCCAGGCTGCAAACTGAGGACAAGCAGAGACCAAACACTATGATGAAGCACCGTGATATGAGCCTTGTTCATTTTTTTCCCCCCAATAATCAAATGCACAGAATCTCCTTATGAAACATGTGTTTGTTGTAATATGAAACACGGTTGCTTGCTGCTGCTTTATTACTAGTATGTTAAACTTTTAGCCTATGGCACTGATGTATACAAAGATTAAAAACATGTTGATCTGAGTCATAAAAAGATCCTTTTCTTTGATTTTTACCCCACAGTCGATTGTTTCAGATCATCATACTATTTTTTTTTTAAAACCATTCATCATCTGCGATTTTTAGGAGGATTTAAAAACATGTGAAAAACAAAGTCAATAATATTTATCTCTCTAGAAAAGGTTACAAAGTATTACCAGGCTTCTTGGACTTCAGTGAAGCACAGTGAGAAAAAACTTTCCAAAAATGGAGACAAGCTAAAAAAAAAGTGGAGATCCTTCGCAGAAGTAGTAGGGCTACCAAATGTATTCTTGCAGAAACATCTACCAAGGAGGTCACCCAAGAAATAAAAAATAAAGACCTTTATGCCTTAATTAATTCAATTCAAGTTAGTCTTGATTTAATAATGAAACAGAAAGAGAAAAAAATTTTTCTATTAAAAAGTTGAATCAAGAAGTGGTAGAGTTATCATTCTGACGTGCTTTGCTGCTACAGGACCTGGAAAAGTAACATATCTGCTTTTAAGTTGAAAATACCAACAGATATAACTTTCTTTAGCTCGGGCGCATGCATCATTTTGCAGATGGACAGTGAACCAAAGCACACCTGCGACTCAATCCCTAAATGGCTGATAACAAAAAAAAATGTATGTTTTAAAATGGCTTAGTTAAAGTCCATGTTAAAAGCTAAAACCTTGTAACCTTCCAAAAGAGCTGAATAAAACAGAGAGCAAACCAAAATCCCTCTACAGCAACCGTCTGCCTGGTATTTCAAACAGTTAATGGTAAATGTTTTTACAAAACTTAATAGCTATTTTATTTTCCACATAGGGTCAGGTTAGCTCAGATAGACCCAAACTAACAGGTAAAATTATTATTCAAAGTCTGGATGTTTTACTTTTCATGTTATCTTTAAAATCAGCATCCTGATTTTGAACAAAGTGTGACAAAGTGCAAACAAGACGAAAACTGACAGAGGCCAGAGGATTATTATCAGCACCATCTGCTCTGATGCTGCATTAAATCTTGTTAGTGCACTTCCTAAATACATACAGAGGGTGGCAGTAGTGCAGCAGCCATTCATTTGTGCAATGGTAGGGTTAAACACTACAAAGCTGCATGTTTAATACTAATGTAGCAAAGGATTTATCAGATCTATTCATGATATCTGAATAATTTTATTGTTTGCAATTTTGCAGAAAAGAAATGAGAAACTATCACTGTCTGCTCTGCAGAGGATATCGAGTGGAGCTCTAGAAACAGTAACAACCAAATAAGACACGCTATCCCTGAACGTATTTAGCTCCTACATTTGCCAGGATTTCTCCTGTGGCACATCAAGCCTTCGAGTCACAACTAAGAGTGGGAACACAATGGAGGCCTTTAATTACACCACTAATTATACAGGCAGTATAACCACAGAGCCAATCTCAAATGTATTCCTTTATCTTATGGAGCATAATACAAGTGGAAATAAAAAAAGAGAATATACAACAAATTTTATATAAATATATATATTTTTACAGGTTGGATATTTGATAGTAGTCAAAACTAAACTTTGATTTAAAATGTAGGCCTTTAGTGATGCTTTAAATATTCCCATGTTTCTGTAACCACTTTTATTCAAGCACCCCTAATGTGCCCTTCCCTCCAACAACAAAACAATCTGTCCTTTGTTTAATTGTGCCTAATGCATCCACTGTCACATATCAACATTTTTTTTTTATTTTGCTGCAAAATATATAAACTTTGTTTAGATAGCACCAGTCAGTGTAATATAAATCCACTATTCTTAGAGATTTAAGTCAAGCTGTGCAATCACACACCGGAAAATAAGAATATTAATCTCTTCCTGACTTTCATATAAATTCATATATCTGATGCAATGATACTAATACTCAAAAAACAACTACTTCAATAGAAGTACCGGTATGCCTTCCTTCTGATGAGTTAAATCACAGATTTTGTTCCTTGGAGGGTTTATGAAAGACAACTGATCTCTTTACCCTTTAAATGTGAATTTATAGTCATTCCTTTTAGACACAAAGTGTCTCTTATTTAAAAAAAAAAAAAAAAAAAAAAAAAAAAAAAAAAAAATTTTAAAAAAAAAAAAAAAAAACATTAACTCATATACTTCTTTGTTTTCCAATTGGATGTAGTGAGTGGAATAAGTCTCTCATCTCACCAAAAGGAAACTAGACT